AGGTCAAGGCTTCCATGCGTCATGATCACACCACTGCACTCCAGCCTGGGTGATAGAGCAAGACCCTGTCTCAAAAACAAACAAACAAACAAAAAAAAAAAAAAAAAAAAAAAAGAGAGAAGAGAGAGAAGCTGCTTGGTGAGACTGTAAAATACAGGTAGCTTTCATGTTATAATCTATTTACTAAGCAATTCCCTTATTACACTCTCTCTTATATTTATTTATATGTATTATATGTCAGATTTGTCTCCTGACATGCCCCCTTCCCCTCCCTGTTGGTTCAGAGGTTTCAGTGTACAGTCCACTGAGTTGCATATAGAGCAGTTTACTTTCACTTAGCTGCGTATTTGACATACTCCCTTATTACATGTCTCTAATGAAAGATTCTTTATTCCAGGGCACAATTAGCAGGAAAATTGTTACAGGGTGTGTAATTATAGCTATCACATAGTGAGGAGCATTGCACTGATCCCTTCATGACTGAGGTGACTGACAGCTGAGAATTACACAGTATTGGCAACCATTCATCACTGTGCAAGCGCATTTAAAGAGCTTTCCTGCTTCAGGCTTGTTAGTGGCTATGCTATTTTTACTCCTGAATAATCTCTGACAGAATTATTTGTTTCCATATGGGACAGATCCCTGATAAGGCAATACACAGGCTGGAACAGATACAGAATATGAATAATGTCATTGGATTTAGTGAATATAACTAATAACAAGGATCCTTTTTACATAGAAGGAAAATGTACATTAGTGACATCCCTGTTGCAGACATGGCTCACATTTGCAGTGCTACAGCAACCATAAAAAGTTTGATAACCCAAAACACTGAAATGGTTTCTTTCATAGTTGGACCCTGAACGTTTTTTAAACATGAGGACCCAGCCATGCCAAAGCATTGCTGCTCACCTAGATAAGCAGGTTCCAGTTGATAGCCCCAGAGCTATTTCTCACACCAATGCTAATAAACTGACGAGTTACTAATGCGTATATGGGGTTTCTCAGGCTAATAGTAGCTGGCCAGATGCTGTGGCTCATGCCTATAATCCCAGCACTTTGGGAGGCCAAGGCAGGCTGATCATGAGGTCAGGAGTTCAAGACCAGCCTGGCCAACATAGTGAAATCCCATTTCTTTATTTTATTTTATTTTTTTAGAGAACTCCTAAGTCTCAGAAACCCCATTTCTACTAATAAAAAAAAAAAGAAGAAGAAAGAAAAGAAAAAGAACCTGTGTCGATTCATCAGATAGGCAGTGCACCTGAGATAGCACTCTGGAACCCAGATTTTCCCTGTCCCTGTCTGATACTTTGGTAACATACACTGACCAGCTCGGTCTGTATCTGTTCCTATGTAATCCCTACTAGTGAACTCACCTAGTGCCATGGATTTTGCTGAGCATGGACTTGTCGAATACTCAATACTTATTAAGTTCAATTTCTTTCTTTTTCTTTTTTGAGACCGAGTCTCACTCTGTCAACCAGGCTGAAGTGCAGTGGTGCGATCTCAGCTAACTGCAACCTCTGCCTCCTGGGGAGATTCAAGCGATTCTCCTGCCTCAGCCTCCCAAGTATCTGGGACTGCAGGCGCCCACCACCACACCTGGCTATTTTTTTTTTTTAATATATGTTTGTATTTTTAGTAGAAACTGGGTTTCACCATGTTAGCCAGCATGTTCTTGATCTCCTGACCTCATGATCCTTTCACCTCAGCCTCCCAGCGTTCTGGGATTACAGGCCTGAGCCACCGTGCCCAGCCTATTTTATTTTTTTTGAGACAGAGTCTCACTGTGTTGCCAGGCTAGGGTGCAATGGCCCCATCTTGGCTCACTGCAACCTCCACCTCCTGGGTTCAGGCAATTCTCGTGCCTCAGCCTCCTGAGTAGCTGGGATTACAGGCACCTGCCACCATGCCCAGATAACTTTTTTTTGTATTTTTAGTAGAGATTGGGTTTCATCATGTTAGTCAGGCTGTTCTCAAACTCTTGACCTTGTGATCTGTCCACGTCAGCCTCCCAAAGTTACAGGCGTGAGCCACCGCGCCCAGCCCAGAACCCAGTTTTTCTAATAACCAGTCTGTGCTATTTTGCAGCTTTGTAAGTGGATTTCCTAGTGTCCAGAGAGGGAACTAACTTGATTTGTTATGAGAAGAGCAGCATTTAAAGTGAAATTTATCTGCAGAAGATCAGGATTCCAGCAGTATCTAGTGTTACATTTTCTAGCCCAGTTCCCCATTAGACTGCACATTGATTTCTTTTTTGTTGCTGCCTCTCATAAATGAAATTAATTTGTGGTCTGTGCCGTAATGTGAAGAACCAGCGGCTTTCTTTCCCTGCCCCTACCCTCTGAGTCTTCCCATCTTAATACAGGCTATGTGGAAGGAAAAAAATAATCTCCCATTACTCAAAACACAATCTCAGCAGGGTATGTTTTAAATATATCTGTAGCTTTTATCTATTTTCACAAACACAAAATGAAACAGAATGAATGAAGCCACTGAAGTGTCTTTCACCTTTCTCTGTAATTGTAGTCCCTTTATCTGCCAGTTCCTCTGGGGTTTCTATGGAAACAGCAGCATGCAGATGATCTTGTCACGTGACTGGAGTGTCTCTATATATGGCACAGAAGAATCCAGATGGCAAGAGCTGTCTCTGCTATCCCTACATCTACGGTTTACTTTGCCGAGCAATTGGCATCATCATTTAGGCTACCACCTTTATATATACATACTGGGTTTGGGGACAGCAACGAGCTTTCTTGGCTAAGATAAAAAATGAGACCAGGTACAGTAGCTCATGCCTGTAATCCCAGCACTTTGGGAGGGCAAGGTGGGAGGATCACTTGAGCCAGGGGTTTGAGACTAGCCTGGGTGGCAGAATGAGGCCCCAACTCTACAAAAAAAAAAAATTTTTTTTGTAAGATGGACTTTCACTCTGTTGCCCAGGCTGGAGTGCAGTGGCGTGATCTCAGCTCACTGCAACCTCCACCTCCCAGGTTCAAGCAATTCTCCTGCCTTAGCCTCCTGAGTAGCTGGGACTATAGGCACCTGCCGCCACACCTGGCTAATTTTTGTATTTTTAGTAGAGACGGGGTTTCACCATATTGGCCAGGCTGGTCTCAAACTCCTGACCTTGTGATCCACCCACCTCGGCCTTCCAAAGTGCTGGGATTATAGGCATGGGCCACCGTGCCTGCCCCAAAACATTTTTTTTAGTTACTGGTGCATAGTGTCATGTGCCTATAGTCCCAGCTACTCAAGAGGTTTAGGTGTAAGGATCACTTCAGCCCAGGAGGTCAAGGCTACAGTCAGCAGAGATGGGGCCACTGAACTTCAGCCTGGGCAGCAGGCTGTCTCAAAACAATGGGAGAGGCCGGGCAGGGTGGCTCACGCCTGTAATCTCAGCACTTTGGGAGGCCAAGGCAGGCGGATCACCTGAGATCAGGAGTTCAAGACCAGCCTGGCCAACATGGTGAAACCCTGTCTTAAAAAAACAAACAACAACAACAACAAAAACAATGGGAGATATATTTTTCAGCTTTAAGAGAAGAGTAGTCTAGGCATGGTGGCTCACGCCTGTAATCCCAACATTTTGGGAGGCCAGAGTGGGAGGATCACTTGAGCTCAGTAGTTCAGGACCAACCTGGGCAACATAGCAAGATCTCATCTCTACCAAAAAAGTCAAAAATTTAGCCAGGTGTGGTGGTGCACACCTGTGGTCCCAGCTGCGGATGAGGCTGAGGCAGGAGGATCTCTTGTGCCTGAGAAGTGGAGGCTTCAGTGAGCCGTGATTGCACCATGGCGCTCCAGGCTGCGTAATCGAGCAAGACCCTGTCTCAAAAAAACAAAAGACATAAAGACATGAGTGAATAGCAGGCCATATCCACTTTTCAAAATCTTGGTCACAGATAAAAAGACAAGACTTCTTATCTTGTAATAGATGGCTCATGCCTATAATTGCAGCATTTTGGAAGGCCAAGGCCGGCGGGAGGTCAGGAATTGGAGACCAGCTTGGTCAACATGGTGAAACCTATCTCTATTAAAAACACAAAAAAATTAGCTGGGCATGGTGGTGGGGATGCCTGTAGTCCCAGTTACTTGGGAGGCTGAGACAGGATCTAATTGCTTGAACCCAGGAAGCAGAGGATGCAGTGAGCTGAGATTGCACCACTGCACTCTAGCCTGAGCAGCAGAGTGAAACTCCATCTCAAAAAAAAAAGTTTGAAATTACCTGTTAAATCCTACATCAGTTCGATTGTTTTGTTAGGATTTTTGTTTGTTTGTTTTTTTGAGACAGAGTCTCACTCTTGTTGCCCAAACTGGAGCGCAATGTCGTGTTCTTGGCTCACTGCAACCTCCACCTCCTGGGTTCAAGTGATTCTCCTGCCCCAGCCTGCTGAGTAGCTGGGATTACAGGCACATGCCACCGTGGCTGGCTAATTTTTTTTTATTTTTAGTAGAAACAGGGTTTCACCATGTTAGCCAGGCTGGTCTTGAACTCCTGACCTCAGGTGATATGCCCGCCTCGGCCTCCCAAAGTGCTGGGATTACAGGCGTGAGTCACCGCTCCTGGCCAGGATTTCTTTTAAAAATATCAACACCAATAGCTCATGCCCTTAATCCTGGCACTTTGGGAGACTGAACCAGGCAGATCACTTCTGGCCAAGAGTTCAAGATGAACCTGGTCAACATGATGAAACTCCATCTCTACTAAAAATACAAAAATGAGCCGGACAGGGTAGCCCATGTTTATTCTATCATCACAGCTACTTGGGAGGCTGAGGCAGGAGAATCGCTTGAACCCAGGAGGCAGAGGTAGCAGTGAGCTGAGATCATACCACTGCACTCCAGCCTGGGGACAGAACGAGACTACATCGCAAAAAAAAAAACAGAACAAAACAAAGAAGAACAAACAAAAATATAAATACTATTGACAGTAGAAGTGGCCCTTCTAGTCATGTTTTCTTTAACAAACATGTACTTTAGATGGAGAGAAGGGAACAGTAAAGCCCAGTCTTTGCCATTCATTTCTGTGCAAACCAGGACTGGCTGATACTACATATTCCAGATGGTAAGATCTTCTTGTCTTTTCTTCTCTCTGTTAGATTCAGTTATCCTGTTACTGTGGTAGCCTTGCAGCTCTAATTTGCTAACAGGGATCTGATAGCTAAAGAAGAAAGCTTTGCCAGTCACGATGGCTCATCCCTGTAATCCCAGCACTTTGGAAGGCCGAGGCCAGAATATTGCTTAAACTTAGGAGGTGGCTGCAATGAGCTGTGATCGCACCACTGCACTCTAGCTTGGGCAACAAAGCAAGACCCTGTCTCAAAAAAAAAAAAAAAAAAGAAACAAAAGAAAAAAGAAAGGAAAGAAAAGCCTTTGCTCCTGATGTAGAGCAGTCTGAACTCATTCGTCATGATTTCTTCGGGATGTTACTGCCAAGCAGATTACAAGGTGAAGTCAATGTGACAAAAGGAAATTGGGCTAAAAGCTTCCTGAAGCCTTTTGATACTTAGCAGTCCTCCTTTTGATATTTAACACCCATGAGCATAAACTCCTGCCTTAGAAGCCACCACGGATTTTTTTTTTTTTTTTTGCCTTCGGTTAACAGTTCTGAGTACCCATAGAGCCTTTTACTATTTGTCAGCATTCTAGAATCATCAGTATGGATTGTCAAAACTTAAGGGATATTACACTTTGCGTATATCCCTTTTTTGTTAAATGTTGTGTGCATCCACATATTTTTTTTTTTTTCTTTTTGAGATGGAGTCTTGCTCTATTTCCGAGATTTTTACTCACTGCTACCTCTGCCTCCCGAGTTAAAGCGATTATCCTGCTTCAGCTTCCCCAATAGCTGGGATTACAGGCACCCACCACCACGCCTGGCTAATTTTTGTATTTTTAGTAGAGACAGGGTTTCGCCATGTTGACCAGGCTGGTCTCAAACCCCTGATCTCATGTGATCCGCCTGCCTCGGCCTCCCAAGGTGCTGAGATTACAGGCATGAGCCACTGCGCCCAGGCATTTTTTGTTTTGTTTTATTTTGTTTTTTGAGACAAAGTCTGGCTTTGTAACCCAGGCTCGAGTGCAGTGGTGCAATCTTGGTTCACTGCAACCTCCACGTCCCGGGTTCAAGCAATTCTCCTGCCTCAGCCTCCTGAGTAGCTGGGATTACAGGTGCACCCCACTACGCCCGGCTAATTTTTGTATTTTTAGTAGAGACGATGTTTCATCATGTTGGCCAGGCTGGTCTTGAACTTTTGACCTTAGGTGATCCGCCCTCCTCAGCCTTCCAAAGTCCTGGGATTACAGGCGTGAGCCACCTCGCCCATCATTGCTTTTATATTCTTTTTTTTTTTTTTTTTTTTTGATGGAGTCTTATTCTGTTGCCCAGGGTGGAGTGCAGTGGTACAATCTCATTGCAACCTCCGCCTCCCAGGTTCAAGTGATTCTCCTGCCTTAGCCTCCTGAGCAGCTGGGATTACAGGCACCTGCCACCATGCCCGGCTAATTTTTTTGTATTTTTAATAGGATGGGGTTTCACCATGTTGGCCAGGCTGATTTTGAACTGGTGACCTCAAGTGATCCGCCCTACTTAGCCTCCCAAAGTACTAGGATTACAAGCATAAGCCACTGCACCTGGCCTGATTTATATATTAATTCTAATGATAATGTTTAGTCTAAGATGGACCTGACAAACCAGGCACAGTGGTTCAACAGCACTTTCAGAGACTGAGGCAGAAGGATTGCCTGAGCTTAGGAGTTTAAGGTTACAGTGAGCTGTGATCTCACCACTGCCTTCTAGCCTGGGCAACTGAGCAAGACCCTGCAAAAAAAAAAAAAAAAAAAAAAAAAGGTAAAGAAAGAAAAGAAATATATATTGGAAACTAAAGTCATTTTCCATAACTTAAAGGGGTTGGGCTATTTCCAGTTGAATATAGTTTCTGCCTAGTTTGTTTTCTTCTGCCTTTTTTAAAGCTCATCTTTGGGTGAAAAATTGCCGGGAACTTCTGCAGTCCAACTACAACAAACAGCGCTTTGATCAACCTTTAGAGGCTTCAACCTGGCTGAAGAATTTCAAAACTACAAATGAGCGCTTCCTGAACCAGGTGACTAGACTCCTAGAAGTTGAGTGCTAGGTAGTCTATATGGATTCTGTCCTGCTTGTGCCCTGAGTACCAACAGACTATGGAGACCTGATATTGGAGTTGGAATAACTGTATCATTTTTAATTTCTTTCATATGTTTTGCTTACAGTGGGCTTGCAACTTGAAACTCATTTATTCATGTGAAATAAAGAGGCAGCCGGGCATGGTGGCTCACGCCTGTAATCTCAGCACTTTGGGAGGCTGAGGCGGGCGGATCACCTGAGGTCGGGGGTTCAAGACCAGCCTTACCAACATGGAGAAACCCCATTTCCATAAAACATGCAAAATTAGCTGGGCGTAGTGGCACATGCCTGTAATCCCAGCTACTCGGGAGGCTGAGGCAGGAGAATCGCTTGAACCGAGACCTGGGAGGCAGAGGTTGCAGTGAGCCAAGATCATGCCACTGCATTCCAGCCTGGGCAACAAGAGTGAAACTCATCTTAAAAAAAAAAAAAATGAGGCTAGATGGTCTAAGCAGAGGAGATCAGAAGCATCAACCACCCCAATCATGCTGGTTTGGGGTGGTCGGTGTTTTCTCTCAGTGACCGTTAATCTCAAGAAGGATAGCAGTTCTAGGGCCAGAGGCTATGTGGCTTATCCCGGGGGGAGTATCTTCAGGTATACAATTATGTCTTAGTTGAGGTTTTTTTTTTTTTTTTTCTGAGACAGAGTCTCGCTCTGTAGCCCAGGCTGGAGTGCAGTGGTGTGATCTCAGCTCACTGCAATCTCCACCTCCTAGGTATCGGTTCAAGCGATTCTCCTGACTCAGCCTTCCTAGTAGCTGGGATTACAGGTGCCCACCACCATGCTCAGCTAATTTTTGTATTTTTAGTAGAGATGGGGTTTCACCATGTTTGTCAGGCTGGTCTTGAACTCTTGACCTTGTGATCCACCCACCTTGGTCTCCTAAAGTGCTGGGATTACAGGCGTGAGCCATTGTGCCCGGCTGAGGGTTTTTAAAAAAATCGTTGTCAGTTGTTTCAGGAGAACAATTGAGAAAAGCACGTGATGATCTCTTCTCTCTTTCTGTCCAATGTCAGATTGCCGCAGAGGAATTAGCACTTGTTCACAACCTGAGGAAAATGATGAAAAACGATTGGGTAGGTGCATATGATGCCTAACATTTCAGAAAGCAATGTGTTTTCATTTTAAACATGCTCTACTGTTTCATTGCTAATTAAATAAGATAATAACTTACCGTCTATAAAATCAGAGACTTTCCAGTCTCACCACTGCCTTCCAGCATTCTAAAATCTAGACTTTCCAGTCTCTGATTTTATAGACGGTAAGTTATTATTTAATTCCCTTGTCTGTACCAAGTTAGAAATAAGGCCTGAATTAAAATCTGTGTATGTGGTTTATAATCTTTCCACTTAACTGGAGTAAGTTTATTCAGAACCACTTTATTTAAATATTGGCCTAATTTTATTTTGCTTGCAGTCACTTAAAGTGTTTTTGTATTTCCTTACCATCTTTGGAAAAGAGTGTAAGACCCAAAAGTATGTCCTGATAAATTTAAAATCAGGCAGCAGTTTATTATCTGAGCCAAATCTGTAATAACCAATTTAGTTGCCATTTAACTGTTCTAGACTACACTTCTGTAACACTATATGCCCAAGAAAGAAAAAAAAATCTACAGATGATACAATTGCAGTTTTCTATCCTATTCAACTTTTTCCAGTTCAGCCTTTTCTCCTTTATTTCAGCATGGAGGCACCAAAGAAAAATTTGTTTCTCCCTAGATTGTTATTCCGTCCAAAGTAATATCTTTTTTTTTTTTTTTTTGAGACAGAGTCTTGCTCTGTTGCCAGGCTGGAGTGCAGTGGCGCGATTTCGGCTCACTGCAACCTCCGCCTCCCAGTTTCAAGCAATTCTCCTGCCTCAGCTTTCCGAGTAGCTGGGACCCAGGCGCGCCACCACGCCCAGCTAATTTTTGTATTTTTTAGTACAGACGGGGTTTCACCATGTTGACCAGGATGGGCTCGATCTCTTGACCTCGTGATCCATCCGCCTCGGCCTCCCAAAGTGTTGGGATTACAGGCCAACGGATACATACTCTATTTCCATAAGGGGTTAGATACACAGAGCTACATACATTAATGATAGAGATAAGATAACTAGGCCAGTCCACATGGTATTAGTCATGATCCGTGTGACTTATGAAGGGATGAGGGGCATGGGAGGCTCTAGGGGAGCTTCTGCTTTCCTGGCAAGGTTTTATTTTTGTTCAGGGAGGTATCAGCCAGTGGAGAAATCTGTGAGAAGGGATAAGATGCCGGGCGCGGTGGCTCACGCCTGTAATCCTAGCACTTTGGGAGGCTGAGATGGGTGGATCACCTGAGGTCAGGGGTTCAAGACCAGCCTGGCCATTATGGTGAAACCTCATCTTTAAAAAAATTTAAAAATAGGCCGGGCGCGGTGGCTCACGCCTGTAATCCCAGCGCTTTGGGAGGCCGAGGCGGGTGGATCACGAGGTCAAGAGATCGAGACCATCCTGGTCAACATGGTGAAACCCCGTCTCTACTAAAAAAAAAATTTAAAAATAAAAAATTTTTTTTAAAAAAAGAGAAGGGATAAGACGCAGGAGAAGTAGGGAGCAGGGCCTTCCGTGGCCTGCGCCAGGGTACACCCACGTGAGCGGCGGAGACAGCGCCCAGCCCACTCCAGCCCAGAGCAGGAGCACCAGCGTGGCCTGTGGAGCCAGGCCCCTCACATGCAACCACTGAGAAGCCAGACTGGGTCACACCTAGGAAGACGGAGGAAAGGATTGGCGAACCGCTCCTCCAATGGGAAGGGCTGTATTTGCGGACCAATAGGGCGCCGAGAATGACACGCGTCCGCGGGCCTGCCAAGCCAATCGGCTAGCAGCAGCGAGCGGCGGGCGGGGCTGGGGAGCCGCAGCCCAGTGGAGCAGCGCGGCATGGCGGGCGGGGCCCGGGAGGTGCTCACGCTGCAGTTGGGACATTTTGCCGGTTTCGTGGGCGCGCACTGGTGGAACCAGCAGGTGAGGTCTGCCGCCAGCTGCCCCCGCGGAGCCCTTCGGGATCTACAGTCCCGACGTTCAGCCGGCCTGCCTCATCCTCTCTGCCTCCCCAGGATGCTGCCCTGGGCCGAGCGACCGATGCTAAGGAGCCGCCGGGAGAGCTGTGCCCCGATGTCCTGTATCGTACGGGCCGGACGCTGCATGGCCAGGAGACCTACACGCCGCGACTCATCCTCATGGATCTGAAGGGTGAGGTGGTGGCAGGGTCAGCCGATGCCCCGTGTTTCCCTTCCGTGTGCCGAGTCCCTGCCCTGCCGTTCGCTTCAAGACCCTCCCACCTTCCTGAGCTCAAGGACCAGAGATAAGGAGCTGAGCACAATGTGCCAGCATCCGAGGGGCGCAGGACGGCAAAACTTTATTCTGCTCCAGAGCCATCTCGGGAACAGGCTGCTAGGCCCTGAAGACAGTGAGGACTTGAACTACAGCATTCCTTTCGGACCGCTGGATGTAGTTTTTGACCCCAGTCCCATAGCTAATGAGTAAGCTGGGAACGGAAATATAGAATCTGTATTATCCTAGGCCTAGGTTCCCCCCCACCCCAACTGGTATATATCCCAGAAAGCTTAGAAGAGCCAAGTGCTGGAGAGATGGTGACAGCAGCTGTCACGTGTTCAGGAAGTTTAGCTAGAGGGGTAGGGTGCCCCAGGCTTTGACCTAACATTGTCTGTTATTTCTGTGCAGGCAGTTTGAGCTCCCTAAAAGAGGAAGGTGGACTCTACAAGGACAAACAGCTGGATGCTGCAATAGCATGGTGTGTAATTGATGAGAGGGGTGGGGAACATGTATGTACATAGAATGCTGGAAAACTCATCAGAGTGTGGTTTCTCTGATCAATCTCCAATCTCTTTCAGGCAGGGGAAGCTCACCACACACAAAGAGGAACTCTACCCCAAGAACCCTTATCTCCAGGACTTTCTGAGTGCAGAGGTGAGGGCCTCTGCCCTGAACTTTTTAACCCAGTGCTACAACCCGAGGGCCTCCATAGGGGCAGGTAGAAGAGGATTTTACTCACTTTAAATGCCTTAGAATGGTATTTTGGGAAAAAGCACATCTTTTCCTAAGGACCGCGACTCCCTGAACAGAAAGGAGGCTGTGTGGTGTGGTCAGCCAACTCGAGGATAAACCAACCTTTGCCTCTAAACTGCCTGGAACTAAATGAGGGTTTTTCTCACCTCTCCCAGGGAGTGCTGTGTAGTGATGGTGTTTGGAGGGTCAAATCCATTCCCAATGACAAAGGTGAGACTTCCCCAGATACTGGTGGATGGGGGTCTGGGGGGAGCAGAAATGTGGAGAAAGATACATTTCCTCTACTTGTCTTCAGGTCCCCCACCACTCACCACATCTACAACTCCAACACCACTTATCCCTACAGAGGGCAGCATCAGGGTTTGGTCAGACTTCCTCAGAGTCCATCTCCACCCCCGGAGCATCTGTATGATTCAGAAGTACAATCACGATGGGTATGGAGGCCCCAGAGGCTGTGAGGCAAGAAACTTGGGTCCCCACCAATGCTGGATGAGGTTCTTGAGGCCATCTTCCCTGCCCTCCCCCAGGACAAGAGGTTGAGGAGTTGAGAGGAAGAGATGCAAGTCTTGGGTCGTGTTTATTTGTGGCAGGGAAGCAGGTCGGCTGGAGGCTTTTGGCCAAGGGGAAGGTGTCCTAAAGGAACCCAAGTACCAGGAAGAGCTGGAGGACAGGCTGCACTTCTACGTGGAGGAATGTGACTACCTGCAGGTCGTGGCGTGGCTATGTGTACCCTAGGGTGGAAGCTCTTCTCATCCTCCTCCCTAACTATCTTTCGTCACTCACTTCTGCCCAGGGCTTCCAGATCCTGTGTGACCTGCACGATGGCTTCTCTGGGGTAGGCGCTAAGGCCGCAGAGATGCTGCAAGATGAATATTCAGGGAGGGGAATAATAACGTGGGGCCTGCTACCTGGTCCCTACCATCGTGGGGTGAGTGGGACTTGGAGGAGTAAGCGGTCACACGGTGGGGAGGGAGAAACGAGAATCCCAGTGGGAAAGTTGCTTAATGCAGACTGCTCTTTTTCTTCCCCAGGAAGCCCGGAGAAACATCTATCGTCTATTAAACACAGCTTTTGGTCTCGTGCACCTGACTGCTCACAGCTCTCTCGTCTGCCCCTTGTCCCTGGATGGGAGCCTGGGCCTGCGACCTGGGCCACCTGTCAACTTCCCTTACCTGCATTATGATGTAAGGCTCAGTGCTCTTGTTCTGACTGCAGCTGGCTATGGGGCCTCCTCATATTCCCAAGTCAGCCGCTGTCTGTAACTGGCTCTGTTCCTGAGGCCTGAGCTTGAACTCAGCTGTGATGTGGCCGCTCAGGTCACACTGTCCTGTGCTTGTCCAGCCTGGGGCCAAATGTACCCCTGCTTCATCCCCTGGATCTCTCTGCCATTAATATTCTGCCTCCACACTCTTCCCGGCCCGAGGCCAAGTGCCCCTCTTGGTGTCTTGTTACAGGCCACTCTGCCCTTCCACTGCAGTGCCATCCTGGCTACAGCCCTGGACACATTCACTGCTCCTTATCGCCTGTGCTCCTCCCCAGTTTCCATGGTTCAGCTGGCTGACATGCTGAGCTTCTGTGGGAAAAAGGTACGAAGCTTTGGGAGGGGTTGGCTCAGTGCTGAGGAAGTCCTGTAACCTGTTCTCTTCCTTATCTTTAGGTGGTGACAGCAGGAGCAACCATCCCTTTCCCCTTGGCTCCAGGCCAGTCCCTTCCTGACTCCCTGATGCAGCTTGGAGGAGCCACCCCATGGACCCCGCTGTCTGCATGTGGTGACCTTTCTGGAACACGTTGCTTTGCCCAGTCAGTGGTGCTGAGGGGTATAGACAGAGCCTGCCACACAAGGTGAGAACTGTTGGTCCTTAGGACCCCTTGTCAGATTTTTGTTTCATGTCCTTTTCTCCCTGGTTTCTCTGGGCCATTCTAATGATAGTGTTCCCTCCCCACCCCTTAGAAAAGGCAAAAAAAAGTCTCTGAACATCTTGATCCAGCTGATGGCCTGAGAACATAAGAATCCTTTTTTTTTGAGACAGAGTCTTAGTCTGTAGCCCAGGCTGGAGTGCAGTCCTGCACTCCAATCTCGGCTCACTGCAACCTCCGCTCCTTGGGTCCTGGTTCAAGCAATTCTCCTGCCTCAGTCTCCGGAGTAGCTAGGATCACAGGCATGCGCCAGAATGCCCAGCTAATTTTTATATTTTTAGTAGAGTCTGAGTCTCACCATGTTGGCCAGGCTGGTCTTGAACTCCTGACCTCATGATCTGCCCACCTTGGCCTCCCAAAGTGCTGGGATTACAGAAGAACATAAGAATTCTTAGTTTCTGGTTGGGCGTGGTGGCTCACACCTGTAATCCAAGCACTTTGGAGGCCAAGGCGGGCGGATCACCCGAGGTCGGGAGTTCAAGACCAGCCTGACCAATATGGTGAAACCCCGTCTTTAAAACAAAACAAAACAAAAAGAATTCTTAGTTTCTTATTTATGCTGCTATAGTCTAACAGCGGTTTTGGCTTTGTTCTGGCAGTCAGCTCACCCCAGGGACTCCTCCACCCTCCTCCCTGCACGCGTGTACCACTGGGGAGGAAGTGTTGGCCCAGTATTTACAGCAGCAGCAGCCTAGAGTCATGAGGTCAGTGTAACAGTTCGCTCCCGCCCTTCTTGCCAACCTCAGCCCTCCCTTGACTTCACTTAACGGCTGTTCTCTGCCCCACAGTTCTTCCCATCTGCTGCTGACTCCCTGCAGGGTGGTTCCTCCTTACCCCCACCTCTTCTCAAGCTGCAGTCCGCTGGGTATGGTTCCAGATGGTTCCCTGAAGGGAGCAGGTATGTGAGAGATGAAGAAAACAGATTTCAAGTATGGGAGAGTTTTTACTGTCTCCTTCCCTGGATTAAAAGTGCTTAAGAGGTCCACAGTTAACTATTCCTTTATTCACCCTATGGCTCCCAAGAAGTGTTCTTCCTCTGGAGTACTGGTGTACTAAGGGGGCAGTACACAAAATTTATTGAGTTTACAATCAAGACTACCAAGGGTGGACTTCCTTATCAGTTTGACAGAGCCCTGGGGTAGAATAATCATCCATCTACAGGTCTGGCTTTTGTCTCCCTCCACAGCAGTGGAGAGCATCCCAGTGTTTGGGGCACTGTGTTCCTCTTCGTCCCTGCACCGGGCTCTGGAAGCCTTGGCCGGAGACCTCACCAAACTCGACTTGCGGCGCTGGGCCAGCTTCATGGATGCTGGAGTGGAGCACGATGACGTAGCAGAGCTGCTGCAGGAGCTGCGAAGCCTGGCCCAGTGCTACCAGGACGGTGACTGACAGCCTCGTGGGCTCAAGTTCCCAGTGTGGGGGAGGCGCTAGCTTGCAATAACAACGGCTGGATGCAGGTGTCTTCGTGCAGAGGAGCTGTGTCGCAAGACTAGCTACACCAACATACGTACTTATTACATTTAGAAACCCTGTGATTAGACCACGGAACAATAAATATGTGCCATCAGACCAAGAAAAGGTAGAGAAAGGACCTGAGCTCCACTCTCGATGCTATTTACAGAGCACATCCCTAAGGTTTTCATAAAAGACCTTGAAGGATGCCTAGGATGGCACAGCCCCTGGGCCTGACTCCAACCTCCAGCCTTTGTCCTCATCCTGGGCTCCTGCTGTCCAGCTTTGTAAACTGGGTGCAAGGGTTGTACAAGGAGAGTACAGCTCCCCTCCTCCCCGGTGTCAGGGCGCCTGTTGGGTTTGGTCCTGTGTAGATGATACCCAAGCATTCCCAGAGTCTCATTCATCCAGCTCCTCTTCAGATAGAAGGTCCCCATGGTCAGACAGCTGGTCTGCATTGCTGGTACTGGTCGCATCATCCTCATCCTCAGAGCTGGCCTCACACGCAGTGTGGAAGAGCTGCATGAGTTCTCAAAAACGGTGGGAAACCTGAGAAAGGAGGAGGGTGTATTCACTGAGCCTGAGAAACAGGTTAACATCTACGAAGCACTTCAGCCTTATTTGGGAACTTTTATTTATTCTACACAGCAAGGCTGGGAGAGCGATGTCTTTATAGATAAGGACACTAAGAAGCTAAAGGTTTTGCCCAAAGTCACACGCCTCCTAAAAACAAAACTAGAATGGAAACTCAGAGCTTCTACCTCAAAATCCTGGCTGGGTGCAGTAACTCACGCCTGTAATCCCAGTGCTTTGGGAGGCTGAGGCGGGCACATCACCTGAGGTAGGAGTTCAAGACCAGCCTGGCCAACATGGTGAAACCCTGTCTCTACTAAAAATAAATAAATCAGCCAGGCATGGTGGTGGGCAGCTGTATTCCCAGCTACTTTGGAGGCTGAGGCAGGAGAATCACTTGAATCCAGGAGGCGGAGGTTGCAGTAAGCTGAGATCACACCACTGCGCTCCAGCCTGGGCAACAAGAGTGAAACTCTGTCTCAAATAAAAAGTCCTCAAAATCCAGTGTCCTTTCTGTTCTAGAACCACGACCAGCCTGATGAGTCGAGCTTTTCCTTAGATCAGACCTTTACAATAACCACTTAGTGTCCTGGCTCTGAAAACTCCTCCTTTGGTCTTTGTCTTAGTTGGCCACCTTGTCCTCTCTTTGCTGGGCCTTCTCCCTCTCTAGCCCACTTACCTCAGCAGGGGTCTTATTTCCCAGCTGCTGGGAGATGATGCTGAAGGTCTGTGGCTGTGCCCCTTGCTCCTGGCACATGGTGAGGATCACACGGTCAGCTTCCCTGTAACCCAGGTATCATGGTTAATCCTAGGGAGCCACATGGATGTGGTCTATGCTCTTTTCCAAACACGTCACCCACCCGTACCTACCTTGTCCATAGGACCACCTTTTCCCCCGTGGAGCTGACCTTGCTGTTGTTGGCACACACTGTAGCTTCTGTGGCCTTTGGCTGCTGCTCCCCCTCTGGACCCTTGCCCTGTGTTCCACTGTCTTTAGCCAAACCCCCTCTAGGGGCTTTGGGAGAAGTCTCTGAGGTGTCAATTCCTGATGGAGATTCATGAACAGGGGACGTCCTGTCTCTTGTCTTCACCCTAGCTCTGCTTGAGGGCAGCCATCTCTCTTGAGTGTCTGGTTTCCCGGACACATGTCTTCTCCCTGCATCTCTGGTCTTTGAGGAAACAGGACTCAGGAAGGAAGCGGGGGGTTCCACGGTACCAGGCAATTTCTCAGTTTCGGATGCATCCCAGACCAGCATCAAAGCCTCGGACTCACCCACTGCCTTTTGGCCCTCTCTCTCTTTCTGAAGTCTGGGGGATGCCTTGGGGCAGGGGAGAACCTCAGGCCCAATCTGGTTTCTCTTAACAGTGTATAGTACAGCTCCAGTTTTGGGGGGAAACTGAAGAGTCTCTGGTGAATGAGGTGGTGGGCCATCCAGGAGCCGCTCTGTAAGAGTCACTTCTCGAGGGGACGGCAAAGTGCCCCCCACTGCCAATCCTGCTCAGGAGGAAAATAAGGATCTCAGGGTACTGTCAGGATCGAGATGCACCTAAGCACGAGAAATTACCACAGGGTCACTGTGGCCAGGTACTGTATGAAAATTCTCCTACAAGAGGGCTGGCATGGTGACTCACACCTATAATGCCCGCACATTGGGCAGCCAGGTGGTGGGATCGCTTGTTGCCAGGAATTTGAGACTAGCCTGGGCAATTTGGTGAGACCCCCATCTCTACAAAAAAATATAAATAATAGGCCAGGCATGGTGGCTTACACCGTAATCCCAGCACTTTGAGAGGCCAAGATGGGTGGATCACGAGGCCAAGATCGAGACCACCCTGGCCAACATGGTGAAACCCCGTCTCCACTAAAAATACAAAAACTATCTGGGTGTGGTGGTGCACGCCTGTAATCTCAGCTACTCGGGAGACTAAGGCAGGAGAATCACTTGAACCCAGGAGGCGGAGGTTGCAGTGAGCTGAGATCGTGCCACTGCACTCCAGCCTGGTGACAGAGTGAGACTGTCTTAAAAAAAAAAAAAAAAAAAAAAGACAGGTTCCTCTGTAGTTTCAGATACTTGGGAACATGAGGCACAAGAATTGCTTGAACCTGGGAGGTGGAGGTTACAGTGAGCCAATATTGTGCCACTGTACTCCAGCCTGGACGAAAGTGAGACTCCATCTCAAACAAAAAAATAAAAAGAGAGAGAGACAAGGTCTCACAGATGATCTTGCCCAGGTTGGAGTCCAGTGGCTATTTACACAGGTATCATCGTGGTGGTACACTATAGCCTCAGACTCCTGGGCTCAAGTAGTGATCCTTTTGCGTGAGCCTCCTGAGTGCCCCTTTGCCCAGCTACTGCTCCAAGGATTTTATTTTTTAATTTAGTTTTTTGAGACAGGGTCTCACTCTGTCACCCAGGCTGGAGTGTAGTGGCTTGATCATGGCTGACTGCAATCTCTGTCTTCCTGCTCCAGGGATTTTAAATGTCGCAGAGAAGAGTATTGGATTCCAAAACTCCTTTTCTTACCAATGAGTGTGTTTTTGCTGCCAACCAGCACTACTCTAGAGAACCAGGGTTACTTGTAGAGACTGTTTTCATGGTTTATTTCATTTTCTTTCTTTCTCTCCTTCTCTTTCTTTTCTTTTATCTGACAAGTTAGTGATAGATGTATGGTAAGTTCTGAAACAATTTCTCTCTAGTCCTTATTTTTATTAAAAGCAACTCATAATAGGACTGAGCTGTTCGCAAAATAGACTTTAGTCTTGTACTTGGCCTGATTATTTGCATAAAGTATAACAAAAATAATTTTTAAAAAATCAACTCTATATAGGCTTTAAAAATTTTTTATTTACTTTTTTTTTTTTTTTTTTTTTTATATGGTTGTCTCACTTGTTGCCCAGGCTAGAGTGTGGTGATGCAATCTCGGCTCACTGCAAGTTTTGCTTCCCGGGTTCAAGAGATTCTCATGCCTCAGTGTCCCAAGTAACTGTGATTACAGACACGCATCACCACCCCCAGCTAATTTTTGTATTTTTAGTAGAGCTGGGGATTCACCGTGTTGGTCAGTATGGTCTCAAACTCCTGACCTCAGGTGATCCTCCCATTCAGCCTCCCAAAGTGCTGGGATAACAAGCATGAGCCACCATGCCTGGCCTACATAGTCCTTTTTTTTTTTTTTTTTTTTTTTTGAGAAAGGTTTTCTTGTACAAAATCTATATATAGTGCAGTGGTGTAATCTTGGCTCACCGCAACCTCTGCCTCCCAGGTTCAAGCAATTCTCCTGCCTCAGCCTCCTGAGTGGCTGGGATTACAGGCATGAGCCACCACACCCTGTTAATTTTTGTATTTTTAGTAGAGACAGGGATTCACCATGTTGACCAGGTGGGTCTCAAACTCTTGACCAAAAGTGATCCTCTTGCCTCAGCCTCCCAAAGTGCTGGGATTACAGGCATAACCCACTGCACCCGGCCTCAGGTGGGACATTCTCAAGCTAAACCCAGCCATGGGTTTGTACCCTCAAATACCTATGAGTTGGGTAAACTACTCTCTTCTTGAGGTTCCAAGAATGTGGGGTTCCTGGGCCTGTTAGAGAGTGACATTCTTTACTCACTGCAGGTTATTAGCCCTATACGGGGACTATGTAGACAAGGTAAGAGGCCATTTTTCCCAAAGGGCTTATTTTATTGATTGATGGATTGACTGAGACAGAGTTTTGCTCTGTTACCCAGGCTGGAGTGCAATAGCACAACCTCGTCTCACTGCAGCCTCCATCTCCTGTGTTCAAGTGATTCCTCTGCCTTAGCTTCCCAAGTAGCTGGGATTACACACACCTGCCACCATGTCCTGCTAAGTTTTTGTATTTTT